GTTTATAGATGCCAATAACAATGCCTACCTTGTCCATGATGCCCAGGTAATCTTACTGATGATATTTTTATCGGTAACAGCATTTCCACTTGGTACTTTATAGACAAGCCTTTCATATGCACCAGTGCCCACCTACAATGAATTTCAATTACTATGGTTAATGCTCTGGTCACCCAGGATATAATGCCCTAGGTCCCCCAGGATATAATGCCCTTGGTCACCCAAGATATAATGCCCTTGGTCACCCAAAATATATTGCCCTTGGTCACCCAGGATATAATGCCCTTGGTCACCCAGGATATAATGCCCTTGGTCACCCAGGATATATTACCATTAGTCACCCAGGATATATTACCATTAGTCACCCAGGATATAATGCCCTTTGTCACCCATGATATATTGGCCATGGTCACCCAGGATATATTGACCTTGGTCACTCAGGATATATTGACCTTGGTCACCCAGGATATATTGCCCATGGTCACCCAGGATATATTGGCCATGGTCACCCAGGATATATTGGCCATGGTCACCCAGGATATATTGCCCTTGGTCACCCAGGATATATTGACCTTGGTCACCCAGGATATATTGCCCTTGGTCTCCCAGGATATAATGCCTTTGGTCCCTCAGGATATCATGTCCTTGGCCACTCAGGACAGAACACATATTTTATACACATTTTTTATTGTTTGTGATCTATCTTGTATTGGTTTGACTGATTTGACACTCAATAGTGCATGGGTGTCACAGATGTAAATATCTTGAAAAAACAAGACAAATGCACAGTCTATGATCGCTGTATGCATCATATTATTGTAAGGCTTAGAACACAAACTAGTAGGAGCTAATTGGACACATTTATACACAGGATTGTTAACACGAGAAAGGTAATATGATTGGATAATTTTGTACACAACATTCTTCACATGAGAAAGCTAACCTGATTGGACAAGATTGTACACAGCATTTGCTCACATAAGAAAGCTAACCTGATTGGACAAGATTGTACACAGGATTTGCTCACATGAGAAAGCTATTCTGATTGGACAAGATTGTACACAAGATTGCTCACTTGAGAAATATAATCTGATTTGACAAGTTTGTAACACAGACAGGATTGCTCACGTGAAAAAGCTAACCTGATTGGTGAAGATTGTGCACATGATTTACCCACCTCTATGTATTTGCTGTCAGCTGAGAAATCCAACTGAAATACAAAACTTGGGATTCCTTTACAGTAGCCAGCTCTCTGTAATGACTGTCCTTGTGTAAGGTCATAAAAATCAACTGTACCTTCCTCAGATCCAACTGCCAAAGTTTTGCTGTCAGGACTGAACCTAAAATTACAAAATAAATGCTGTTGTTACATACGGCAACAAAAACAATGTTAGTTTGCCATCCATACAAATTTTTACAAAAGTTTTTTAAAATTTATGCAAGAACATTCATGAGCGGAAGGTTCAATGTCATGCCTTGTTTTCGCAAGCAATTGAAAAACCATTCTTTTACTCCAAAAGAATATAAATTGCTGTAAAATAGGACAACAAAATGTAAATAAAATAAAATTCTAAAAACTCGTACTTTGCCATCCCTATTAAATCTAAGTCAGAAGTTTAAACTGTGTGTATATAGAACACACTGGCATTCATTAAAACAAATGAGAAA